ACCTAGAATTCTATTATAAATACACCATTGTGAACCCTAAAAAGGGGTTAAGCTTTTCATATATACACGAGATGACGAGAATACAAAGCTTTTCTTTTCCGGCTATAGCATTTATTTTTCCGGTGGTGTTAGCCCGCCGTTTCACTGCCCCGATAGTAAATAAAACCAACATTCGCACCGTCTGTGGGGATCGATACGAAAGGCCGTGTAGCCCTATCAAGCAAAAGTTTGAGATTAGAAGATGGCAAGAACGAGGAGAACCCAGGTTGTCACTGGCCAAGATTGAGTATCGCAAGGGCGAGACTTACGGGAACAGCTCAGCCGTCATAACTCTCGCAATCTAACCGTCAATGCCCGTCTAGATGACACTCCGCCTCACGAGGAATCGGCTGACAATGCGCCACCAGCCCCGCCACCAGCGCCGACTGGCCTTTCACTGAGGTATTGAACGGAGCATTAGATCTTTATGAGCAAAAGCTCAGCCTACGAGCCGGGACGGCTCCAATAGGCGTCCCTACCCCTCCTGTTTAGCAGGCGGTGGGGATTCCGCCCCCTCAACCCAAAAGAGTGGATCGTGATAGGTCGGTTGTAACACCCCACTTTTTCTTAATTTAAATCCCGAAACTTAACTTAACAAGGTAAGCTAAACAAGAAATTAAAAGTAAGATTAATAACTTAATTCAATCAAAACCAAACAACGGGTGTTACCGCCACAGTCACCACCCACGGTGACTGCACAGGCTAAAAAATAAAAAATAACTAACTCAAGTCAAACTTCATTAACAACCTTAAAACTTGGGGTACAACCCCGGTGTCCAGCACAAACAAAAGATCAAACTAAGTTTCCAACAGTCAAACAACTAACATCAAGTTCAATAACTGTAACTAAACATCACAAGTCTAAAGTAGAGTCTATCTAGGATCTACCAACTCAAAGTCTACGCACTAAAACTACTCGTGTGTGCGCAAACACAGGGCCCACCTGAAAGGGGTTATAAAAAAAAATAAGTAGCAAATAAACCCGTTAGCAAATTAATGCTAAGTATAAAACCACTCAACCCTGTAAAGTACTATAGAATATAGATTTGAAAATCATTTGGCAAGCACGCATAATCTCAAACATTTCAACACTTAAACAACATTCTCAACAAACTCATAATCAACTCTATATGCTTGCAACCTAGTCATCAAGAAATCATGCTTTCATTCACTAGTACTCAACTCAAACACCATACTCATGCTTCAATTGATAGATAAAGAGATACTAAATAACATAACAAACAATCTCATGCTTTCATGCTAAACAACAATCAATCTCAAAGCTATCATACCAACACAACAATCAACAACAAAGTATCATACTTCTCATCAAATCCTAAATCCAATCATGCAAGTCATGTAACAATAAAAGATGTGATGTGATAAGTGCATTTTTGTCTATATTTTTACCCCTTCTTGAACCCTTTTTATTTGTGAATATCCTAAAAACTTGTGTGAATTGTGACTAAGTTATGTTGGTTTTATTTCAAGGTACAATCATTCACAACAAGTGAGGAATTCAATGATTTGTGGGAAGATACGAGCAATTTTGGGACCAAGAGATCAATCAAAGAGTTTGGAATGCATTTAAGAATTTTCAGCAGCCTCGTACCCCCTTGCGTACGCCCATCCGTCAGCCCATCCAAGATCTCAAAAAAGAAGCAGGTGGCGTACGCCCTGCCGTACGCCCATACGTATGCCCGTACGCCCTTTCCAGTGAACCAAGATTAAATCGTACTGCCTCAGGGATGGCCATCCCTAAGGTAGTACCTCTGTGCTCTGTAAAATATTTATGCGATTTTCTTGGATTTTTGGAGTAAGTTAGAACCCTAGATAGCTAGAACTCATTTTCTCTTCATTTCCTTAGACTTCCTTAGCTTAGACTAGTCTAGTATTACATCTCTAACTCATCTAGCAAGCTTGTAAACGCGGATTGGAGTGGGATTCAACCACAATTTCTTCATCTTCAATAGAGAAGCTTCTTACTCTTCTTTTAAAGCTCTTGTGCAATGTTTATGATATTTTCTTGTGCTTTGTTGTTATTTATGCTTATGAAGTGTGAGTAGTCCGTTTTTGGGCTCGGATTAGGGTGATATTGCCAACCTAGATGCTAAATAGGTGATTATTTCATAAGGGGGAAGATATCTAACCTAGGGTTCATTTGTTTGTGAAGGATTTATGATGAATCTTGTTAATATTTGGTACGTAACTCTTATTAACTTGCTTTTGGATAGTTTTTCTTCACAATGAAAGTTGGGGGAAGAATTTAAGCCTCTCCTTTCTCTAAACCCATTTTCTTTCTATGAAAATAGGGAAGAATTGGGGGCCTAAAAGCTTATGTGCTTTAAGAGCTAGGATTTGATACACCATGAAAGTGGGGCAATCCTTGCTCTAATCCTTGTTTATTAGCTTATGAAAATGGCTTTAAGCTAGGATTTTTATGTGCTTTGCCCTTGTGTTCCCTTGGTTGATGTTCTCTCCTAATCCCTAAGTTGTTAAAGCATCTAGAAGGAAACATCCCCTAATTTGAGCCCATCTTTTATCATTGTGTTTACTTGTGTTTAAATTGCATTGTCTTAACTAGATTTTTAGCCTTTAATTATTAACTTTACCCAACCATGAATTTGAATTTGCTTGGATTCTTGTGGGTTCCAATACTTTGGTGCCTAGAATTCTAGTTGTCACTCAAGTACGTGCCATAGTCCCAATCCCTTGCGGAACGACAATTTACACCTGTTACTCACCATCTCTTTCCCGTACATCATGATGCTATAAGTATAAGTATATAGATATACTTTCTCTCATAAAAAAAAAAAAATTCTTTTTCTGTGGAGGTTTCTGTTGAGTCACATAGACTCGCTTTTCTCTTCTTTCTCTTGAGTCTCTTGACTCGCTTTCTTTCCTCTTTCTCAAATTTCTCAAACATTCTCATTTTTCTTCTTGGGCAAGGCAGGTACTCTGCCGCAACGAAGCCCTAGCAAACAGTGCAATCTCGTGTAGCCGCCACATCCGTAACAATGGAACCTCTAACTCGTGGGGAGGTAGGACTTCACAAATCGTGAATGGACCTAGCCGGCCACATACTCAACTCGCTCATAGAACCGGTGCTGGTGGTTCTTTAATAAATCTTTCTTTCTCTGTGGAATCAGGTATCGTACTTTCAGTGTGCACACCCCCTAACTAGGATTCCAAGCCCGGCGAGAAGTCTCCAACCTAGTAACGCGGAAATATCGACCTTGTTACTTCTAAAATCTCTTTCGGTTCACAATGTCCGATACATTTCTCAAACTTTCCTTCTTTCTCTTTTCTCCCGAAAGGATATAGTCCTAACGGTCCTGCAAAATACTATTTTCCTCACAATAGATAATATATAGATATATCTCAAGCCACAAACTCTACTTCTGCAAACTCATGCACAAATATTCTCAATCAACTTCACTTTCTCACAACTTTGGAAATCAAATATCATGTAACTTCTCAATGCAAATAGATAATGATTTTCCAAAATAGATATATGTTTTTGAAATAGAACTTAGGCTTACTTAGAGCCAATAATGCACTTTGGTTCGTTGCCATAATCCGTCTCTCAACGGGGCTGGCCAACGGACCATGCCATGGTCCGTTGGCTAGCACCGTTGGGTGATCTGGTGCACCATCTGTGTGCATCAGGCACCTCCTTCTTCCCTGTAACACAAACCAATGCAAAACCAACACTTCTAAAACATAATAAATCAATCATAGATGATCTACAACACACAAATAGCTCAACCACAACATCTATCTAGCATTTCTACACCACTATTTCACCATATAGCAGATAACAAAGTCTGAAAATGTAGTTTGGGAGTCCATGGTTTATACCTTAGCTTCTTCTTCTTCTTGTGTGGATTTCTACTTCATCTCTACTCAACTTCCACCATTTCCACTTCCTAGACTCCTCAAACAAACCACACAAACAACATACAAGGAAGGAACCTCGGAGATTAAAGTAAAGAAGATGAAAATTAGGAGAAAAGATGAATCAATGGATGAGATGAGCTTGGGGAAAACTTACTGCAATGCTTCTTTGTCTACAGAGCTCAAGAGTGGAGAGGCCAAAGAAGGAGATCAGGAAAAACAAGGTGAAAAGTGATGAATATATAGGGTGCAAAACCCTAGGTTGATCACCAATGATTGGTGGAGGGTAAAGAAGTAATTTTTTGCTTGGCTTCTAACAAAGAATCACAAGGCTCTTGGTTCACCTTGTATTATGGACCAAGGTCTAAAAAGTGAATTTTGGATAACTTGGGATCAAAAATAGATTTTCTATAAGATGTTTTCTAGTTAAAACACTTGGTTTAGGTTTCACATGTTCTTTTTCGATTTCACTCAGATTGACTTTTCGGGTCAAAACTGGGTACATAAATGTAACCGAAATTTAGGATTTTCGAAATGGAATAAATCTCGGTGTTGAATTTATTCAAAAACTCGGTTCAAAATATTTAATTCAAACATCGTTTTCGAAATAAAATTTTGGAAGAGTAAAAAGGACTATTTTGGAATTTTATAAAAAAGGAATTTAGGAAAATTATTTTTAGGTTGTCACATCGGTACATTTCAACATTCTCCCATTCGCTCAAGGTTGGGCCCCGCCGCTACCCATCGTTTAGCCTTGGATAGGTTTGGCGACCAGGTCCCGCCCTTGGAGGTCAGCCTCATTAATGGAGAGCCGAGGGGAGAGGAACTGCAAGAACCTAGAAATAGGCGAGAACGAAGGGAGGCTGCACACCAAAGGCTTACTCGGTATTCGAGAGCAGCACCGAGTTCCCAATAGGTCCTGGTCAGGTTAGAGTGGAAGTGGCCGACCTCGCCCAGGAGGTTCGGGACTTTAGAGAGAAGTTGGAAAGAAAGACGTCCAGCATGCGCAGCTTGTTACCCGCCTCGCCTTTTACGCTTGAAATATTGGCTTATAAGGTGCCGACAAAATTTAAGATGCCCGAGCATGGCGTTTATGATGGCACAGGTGATCTCAAGGAACATCTTATCAGTTTTCAAGACCGGATGCAAGTAGTTGGCGCGGAAGAACCGTTGATATGTAGGACGTTCTTCACCACACTAACGGCTCGACACAGAGATGGTTCCTGGCCTTGCGGGCTCGATCGGTCAGAAGTTTCCAAGAGTTAACCGAGCTCTTTCTATCAAATTATGCGGCCAACATCCGACCCAAGAGAAATTTCTTGTATTTTGATGAGGTAAAGTAGGGTGTGACTGAGTCATTGAGAGACTATTTGATCAGATGCCAGAAGGAAGCTCAGGCGGTTGAGGATCTAGACGATAGAACATTGCTAACGTTATTCATCAAGTCGCTAAGGTTGGGTAAGTTGTTCACTAGCCTCCATACCGAGTGGCCAGAATCGTACGCTCAGGCCATCCAGCGAGCTATTCGGCACATGGATATGGAAGATACAGTCAAACAGAAACAAGAGTAGGAAAGGTCGTCCAAACCCAAAAGCCACATGTTGACGAGACAAAGGGAGGAAGGTTCAATAGGACGCCAACCAGGCAGAACGACTCGGGAAGGAACCCTGAAAGATTGGGTGCACACGCCTACCAACCCGTCCCATATCAGGAAATTATAAAAGTTAAAGTAGCTTTGCCCCCACAACCGTCGGTGTGGCCATGCGAACGACTAGAGACACTGGCTGCAAGAGTTGAGTCGAGCAAGTATTGCTGATTGCCTAGGACATATACACACTCGACTGAGTGTGCATACTTGAAATAGGAAATGGAGGCCATAATATAATCCAAAGATGTTCCCCACCCACCTCCAACCAGTGTCGCAGATGACTTCCTTGGCAGAGAGGAGAGACTAGCCGATCGAGTGACATCGGTTGAGATGGAGGCAAGCGGCCCGCCTCTAAAGAAGAGGAAGAGGCTAACTGGAGACACAAACCGGTCATTAATATAATCGTTGGTGCACCCGAACAGGGAAACTCGGCCAACTCTAAGAAGGCATGGGCCCGACAGTTGTATGTCGGCACGATTTATGATTGAGAGAGTAGCTCGACAAAGATTTGTAGAGAGCCGATCACGTTCATCGATGGAAGACCTGCCTTTAGAAGCCGGTCTTCACCGGAACGCGCTTGTGATAGCTATGGATGTGAGCGGCACAATCATGTGACGAGTGCTAGTAGACATAGGGAGCAGCGTAAACATCCTGTATTTGGAGGCATTCAACAAATTGGGCTTGTCATGGGACGTTTTGAAGCCGGTCAAGACTCCCTTAATGGATTCACGGGCAATTCCATTAAGTCAGAAGGTTCCATAAAATTGACGGTTGAGCTGGGTACCCACCCGCATACTAGAAAGATGAAAATGGAGTTCGTAGTAGTCAACCTCTCCTGTGCACAAAATATGATACTCGAGAGGCCCGGATTGGAAGACCTCGGTGCTTTGATCTCATTGCAACACTTGTGTATGAAATTCAAGACCCGAGTAAAGTCGGAGTCGTACTAGGCGACCAGTGGGCGACCCGCGACTGTTACTATCAGGCATGCTGAAAGATTGATCGAATTGATATGAGAGTCCACACCATTACCGGATGGACCGAGAAAGAGGAAAGGCTGATAGAGTGACCTGAACCAGCAATCGAGTTGGAAAAAGTCGGAATCGATTCCGACCACCCTGAAAAACGTGTGAGAATCGGATTCGGATTGTTTGACAAACTAAGGAAGGCGGTGATACAAGTCTTAAGAGAGTACCGAGTCCACTTCGCTTGGGGACCAAAAGACATGTTGGGAGTCGACGGCTGATAATCACCCACCGACTAGTTGTTGATCCTACCTACAAGCCAATCGTGCGGAAGAAAAGGTATCTCTCCACGGAAATGAGGGAGTTTGTGAAGAAGGAAGTCGAAATGTTGATGGCGGCCAAACACATCCGTGAAGTTGAAAACCCTCAGTGGCTGGCCAAAGTGGTGATGTGCCCCAGTCTAGGGATGCCAATTTAGCCTGAACCCGATGGGCCAACCCGAAAAAAATCGAAACCGACAGGGCTATGGCCCGAACGGGCTAGCCCGATAAAACACATTAGCCCGACGAGCCCGAAACCGATTAACCCGATACCCGATAGGGCTAGCCCGAAATTAAAAGGGCTAACCCGACAACCCGAACTATTGAAAACTATTCTTTATTATAGAAGTGATGTGAAACCTAACATATATGGAATAATTATTATACTTTAAAATAAATAAATAAATAAATAAATATATATATATATATATATATATATATATATATATATATATAAATTTTACTTAAACTTTTAGTTTTATAAAATTTAAATCAACTTTAATCTAATATTTTGACTAAAAATTGATGAGGACGGAATTTTTCGTCCCCGCTAAATTCTCCGCGGGAACGTAGATAGGGACTATTTTTAATTTTTTGTTGAGGACGGAGATGGGGAGTATAATTCCCGCCCCGCCCCATTCCGTCCCGCCCCGCCCCGTTGTCATCCCTACTCTAAATATGGGTACCCACTTTCAGTTTCTAATTTTTAGTTCAGATGGTTCAACCCGCCCGATTAGCCCGACAACCCGAAGTTTAGGGTTAGGGCCAAACCGAATCCGAGAATAAAATATTAATAAATCGATTAGCCCGAACCGATTAGCCCGACAACCCGACAGGACTAGCACGAAACCGAGTGGGCTGGCCCGATTGACATCCCTACCCCAGTCCCCCGCATGGCGAATGTGTGTCGACTACACAAACTTGAACAAAGTCTATCCTAAGGACCCATTTCCTCTTCCACGTATCGACCGGATGGTAGCAAATTCAGTTCTTAGAGTATAAATAAATATATATACATATATACATATACATATACATATACATACATATACATATACATATACATATACATATATACATATATACACACATATATATATATATATATATATATATATATATATATATATATATATATATATATATATATATATATATATATATATATATATATCACTACTTTTAGCCTTGAGTTTCCAATAAAATAACATTTTTTTATCAATCCTTTAATGAGTCTCTCAAAATTTGGGAGGAAAGAAGAGGAAAAATGAGAAATTTCATTATTAGTCATGATCAACAATGATATGTAAGATCAAGAATAGCAATAAATTTTTATAGAATCGATCATTAATGGAGAGATTGAAAGTGCCTTTTCAGTAGACTTAAGAATTAAATGCGGTGATACCTTTGAATATAGAAATTGAGTTTGCTATTACCTTGTAATTCAAGAACCAAAACATTTTTTTTTTCTTTCAATAGTATAAATTCACATCGAATATATAATATTTAATCACACATATTAATTAATATAATATTTATGTGTTTGTGTGAGATGACAACATAGCATATACACTATATATGCATGTTGACATCATTTTATGTTCCATCCCTCTTTTCTTGATAGTTGAAATGGCAAAAATCAGATATGAAGTTGACATGTGATGAAAAGAGAATTTTGAATTAAAAGCACAAAATGGAATAGTCTTGGCACATCCTTTTTTTTTTTTTTTAAAGTACTACATACATACAAACTCTGTTACAATGTATTATCGGTTTATAGCTACTTTTTTAACCTACTGAAGTACAAAGAGTCAATATCGCCTCCATTAAGGCTCACCCCCATGACTTTTTAAAAAATCACTTCGTGCCTGGATCACAAAGTCAATGGCGGCACATCCTCTCCTTAATTAACTGTGTATCCTTTAAATTTCTTGGGCATACATTTAAAAAAAAAAAAAAAAAAAAAGAAGATACACTGGCTAATTGTAATAAATAACTATATCTTCTCTAATATCCAATTTACGTGGAAAATCGAGGTTGTGTAATAGATAACAAATACGGAGTATATAGTAATCTTGATATGTCTAATATATAGAGTACTAAATCCATAAATGCTGCTAGACTACGAGATTCTTCGTAACTTTTGGACATTTGTTTGACAAATTTAATTAGCTGACAAGTTAAGTTAGTAATAGAAGTTAAAAAATCGATAAAGCTAGCTAATTTATTTGGACTCCAATAAAAATTAGTAGCTCTGTGAGCATGCGTCCATCTAGAATGACCAATCAACGGTTGAAAATTAATGACAAAATAAATAAAATATTGTGGTACAGTAATTCCATAATTATAACAGTGCATTTGAGAACGATTTGTAATACATATGTGGATAACTAGTAGTGCACACACGTGAATGCACTATTATAAATTTAAGGGTATTGTTAATTATCCACAAATGCACTATCAAGTGCTAATACCAACGGCATCTTTGTATGTAATTATAAAAATATCACAGCATTTTTCTTTAAGTTTCACCCTTTGATAATAATCTTATATGGACGAATGGAATTAGTATATACATTCACATGGGACTACTAAGCTAGTTTTCATCTTATCCTCTGTATGTGTGTGTGGGGTAGGTTAAAATGAGAACAACTTCCTATAGTAAAAATTAAAGATTAATCTCAGTCGCCTACCAGAGTTCATCAATGGAAAAAAAAATTAGGTCAAATTTATAATTATAAGTTTCCAACAATAAGACAAAAAAAAAAATGTAAACTTCTTAGCTGATAGTCTAGCAAAACCAGTTAACACATGACATATGTTGTCTTAAAAAAAATACGAATAGAAAAACCAAACAACAAGAAGTAGGTGTTACCTCATGATACACACACAAAAACACAAAACACATAAACATAGAAAAATGTTTGGAGTAATTCTAGTAAATTAAGGAAATGAGAGATAGTATGGGGTGAATTGCGGGGCAAATCTTCTTTGGCAGTGAGACCAAGTTAGTTGACCAACTGCCAAAGAAGATCAGCCCAGTAATACATCCATACCTTAATATAATACTCCGTATATTGCTCTATCTTCTATTCACTCCATTGATGAACAGTGTCAGGTATTCTAAAACTATTTATAGTGATG